ATCCTGTGCGGCTTCCCGGACGGACAGCTCTGCTCTGTGCCGCTGAAGGCTCTCAGCTCGCCGCCCGCCGATGGCTGCCACGACGTCTCTGGGCAGGACCCCCCCGTGAAGATCCTCCACCACTTGGAAGAGCCCATCGTCTTCATCGGGGCGCTGCGGACGGAGCGGCGGGCAGCGGAGGAGGAGGAGGAGGAGGAGGAAGATGACGCCGAGGACGATCCGCTGTTTGGCGACGCCGGCTGTGACTGCGTGGTGGCCGTGGGGCACTACGGCAAGATGGTGGCCGTCAAGGCAGACCAGAGGGATGAGACAACGGTGCCGGAGCTCAGGGAGTACTACCTGCGTGGGCCCATCCTCTGCGCCGCCTGCGGCAGCGGCAGCCGCATGTACTACAGCACGCACTCGGACATCTCTGCCGTCGACCTGGACTGGGTCAGCGAGGCCTCTGACCCTGAGGACACGGAGAGCTGCGGCGGCGTCCTGCCGCCCGTCCTGTCCCCAGCCAGCTTAAGTATCTGTAGCGTCGTGGCCCTCTCCCTGTCCTCACGGGCATCAGAAGGTACTGCCGACCGCGGGGAGCGCGCTGGGTCTTGGGGTGGATGAGGGCAGGAGAGCTGCCCAGCTGTGTGCGTCCACACACCTTGTGGTGGTCTGCGTCGGGCTCCATCCTTCATCCTTTCTTGTTGACCCTCTCCTTTTTGTAAGTTCTTGCTGTTCAATGTGCCGACGGGCTGAGCACCCCTCGGTACCCCGTGCTGCCCCACAGGTGAATCAGAGCTGCTGGCCCTGTCTGCCAAAGGCCGCCTCATGACCTGTGGCTTATGCAGCCCCGAGGATGCTGATGTGGAGCTGACGCCCGCCGAGGCTGGCCGGAGGATTAAGGCACTGCTGTCCGGGATAGGCAACACCTCAGAGAGGTAAGGGCAGGGCTGCTGTGCTGCTGCTGGCCCTGTGTGAGCCGTGGGGTGTAGGTACCTAGAGGTGTACCAGCTCCTGCATGGCTCATAAGGCCTCTTGCAGTGCCACCTCTGATGTTTCCTTTCCCAGAGCAGGTGGAAGGGAAGCCCCCAGCCTCAGTGGCATAAAAATAGTTTGCTGGCAGCCCTGCCTGCTGCTCTGTGCAGGCACACTGCTGCTTGCAGCTTTGGTGACAGAAGGAGGGCAAGGCACAGTGCCAGCGTGCCCAGACACCCCTCAGCACCTGCCAGGCCTGTCACAGGCAGGGCAGGGCAGTGCTTGCTCAGCCCTCTGCGGCCATCTGTGCTTGGGGAGGAGGTTCCCCCTCCGGTGGGGGATTCCCAAAGCTGTGAGCGGGGCTTGTAGCCCACCCATCTGCAGCTTGTCATCGCTGGGAGCTGCAGCCCAGGGCTGGCCGGCGGCTCGCACTCAGGGTCTACTCAGCTGATTGGGGTTTGTCTGCTAACCCCGTTTGCAGACCCACTGTCCCCACTGCCAGCCCTCCTGCTTTCGAGCTCTGCGCTTTGTCCTTCCAGAGTTTCCTTCCTGAAGAAGGCAGTGGACCAAAAGAACCGTGCCCTGGCCAGCCTCAACCAGGTGATGAATGTGAGCGCAGCTCTGCTGTCCAGCCAGGAGGGCCAGAAGCCCATTGCTTGCACCGTCACTGCCAACTGGAGCTGCCTCCTGCTCCGTGACACCGTCACCATCTCCTGCCTGCTGGAGAACTGCAGCGAGTACAGCCTGGAGCAGGGCTGGACCCTGTGTGTTCAGCTCCTGGCCAGCCCCTGTGCCTTAGAGGAGGAGTCTGTGGATTCGGCCACCACCTTCACCTTCCCCATCGACCAGCTCCAACCTGGGACCAAGCGGGAGCTGACGCTGCCCCTCGGCTCGGCCACAGACACCAAGCTGGATCTGCCTCTGACCATCTCCTGTGCCCTCTACTACAGTTTACGTGATATCCTGGGCAGTGGCTCTGACTCACCCGAAGCCCTGGATGATCTCCTCCCGGACGATTCGCCCATCCTGTCCCCAGACAGAGAGGGCATCTGCCTGCCCCTCAGCGAATGCACCATTGACATGCTGCAGTGCCTGCACTTTGAGAGCAGCCCCCCCAGGCCGGACCCCTCCTCCAAAGTGGCTTCGCTGCCTGCGCCCCAGGATCCTGTGGAGACCTTCCTGAGGGCATCCAAGGAGCAGCCTGAGCCCGAGGCAGGGGCAGCCAGCAAGCAGCCATGTGCCACAGGAGAGGGCAGCGTGCCACCCTCAGCAGCGTCCATCAGAGTGTCCTCAGAGCTGCTGAAGAACGCGCTGAAAGCCTCCAGCTCAGGTGGGTGCTGCCTGCAGGGGGTCTGTGCTGAGCAGGTCCTTGGGAGTGACCTAGGAGAGCTGTCCTGTGTCACCATCCCCTTCCCGGGGTGAGGGAGGAGGGTTCCAGGCTCCCACTTTGCCACTCCAGCAGTGTGACAGCCTGGAGGGGAATGTTCCCAAGCCTGGAGTCAATCTGGCATCGCAGCAACTGCACATGGGCAGAGCCAGGCGTGCACCGTTCCACCTGCTCACATGGCCCTGCCCTGGGGAGGTTGTGCAGAGACACAATGTGCTCCGCTTTCTCTCCTCTCACCCCCAGACGTCTCGCTGAGCTGTGCCACGCTGCGCTGGCTGCTGGCGGAGAACGCTGCAGCCGCGGCGCTGAGCAGTGGGGAGGTGACCTCGGTGTGCGGTGTGGCTCCGGATGGAGGAGAGGTGCAGCTGATCATCCGAGAGGCAAGGAAGGGGTTAGCCCTGCAGAGGAACTGCCTGTCCTGCCCCACAGAGCTCTGTTCCTCACCCACTGAGGAGCAGCATGACACGTGGCCTGCCTGTCACCCCCTGGTCCCACACTCCATGCTGCTGGGGCCCCTCCACCCTTCCCAGGACTTTCTCAAGGCTCCTTGGGGCTGCCGCTCCGTGCTGAGCCTGCAGAAGGGAAAACGTGGCTGGGTTCTGGGTGTAAATCCGACCGACTGCAGCTTTTCCCCTTCTAATGTGAAAATCCCCCTCTAAGTGCAAAGGAAAAGCAGTAATTGCAGCACAGCTCTCCTGCCATGGTCGGCTAACCCTCCGGCGAGGGGCCCAGCCGCCTGCGTGCTGGCAGTGACCTGGTTCAGGTTGGTTCACACTTGAGAGCACTAATATTGCCAATGTGATTAGCGACAGCGTTAATTCTGCTTGGGCTAAGCCTGCCGGATTAAATCCACCACGCTGGCAGCCCGCGTCTGACTGGGGAGCGGGCAGCAGGTCGACCTCAAACTTGTACTGGCCTGCAGAGCAGTGAGGGCTGTGCATGGAGCAGGGATGGAGGGAACAGCAGCCGTCTTTGGGCCCAGCATGGAGTCACCATCCCAGCCCTACTGCCCTTGGGGTGGGGGGAACTGGGGCAGCCCTTCCCCAACCCTGCGAGGATTGCAGTGGGGCCTTGCTGCTCTCTCAGGTGGCCATGAATGACCTCAGCCCGGCCGGCCCCATCCAGGCGGTGGAGATCCTGATGGAGAGCCCGTCCCTGGCCCACATGTGCAGGATGCACCACGCCGTCATCCGCCGCATCCAGGTATGGAGCTGCGGGGCACATCCCCGAGTGCTGCCCTGGACCCCGACAGACTCTGTGGGATGGTTTTTCAGGCACCACTGTGTGGCAGCCGTACTTGGCACAGCCCGGTGCCACGCAGGGATGAGGAGTGGGACCACCGCTCCCTCCCCAAGTCCCCTGCAGCAGAGCTCTGCTCCCCGCAGGCGCTGGTGCTGGAGCAGGCAGCGCAGGGCTCGGGGCCCCCTGACCTCCGCATGCAGTACCTGCGCCAGATCCAGACCAACCACGAGGTGAGCCGTGAGCCCGCCGTGCCCCCAGCCCCCCCCCCCACGGGCCCCTCCTCACGGCCGCGACCCTCGCCCCGCTCCTCCTCTTTCCTCCCGCAGGCGCTGCTGAAAGAGGCGCGGTCCCTGCGCGACCACCCGCCCCTGACCGAGGAGGGCACGGAGAAGCTCCTGCACATCTACCAGCAGCTGCGTAACCCCAGCCTGGTCCTGCTGTGAGCAGCGGAGCAGCCAGCGCGCCCCGGGGAACGGGGACGGTCCCAAGGAGGGGCAACGTGCCCGGCAGGAGGGCCGGCGGCCGAGGCGGTGGTCTGTGTGTGTGAATGTGTCGTGGTCGTGTTGTCGGCAGCACGGAGGGGCCGTGCGCCCCGAAAGCCGCCTGGCGGCAGAGCGGGGCTCCTGGGCTGGCCCGGCGCTGCGCTGCCGCCCGGTGCTGTGCAGCCTCGTGGGGCGTTGCGGCCGCGGTAGCGTGGCTCCGTCCCGGCTGTGGGCTGCGCCCCCGTGCCGCCTTGCCTTTCAGGATCAGGACAAACAGGGTGCTGTGCCAGGGTGCCCGGGGGAGCCCCGTTTTCTGCTGGGCAGGGGAGGGGGTTTTCCGCTCCCCCGTTGTTTCTATAAATGATCTCGTATCTCTGTGGCGGTGCAGCGTGTTTTGGGGGCTCGGTCTTTCCCCGCACTGCTCCGGTGTCTGTAAATCTGTCGTCTGCCATGAAAACGATCGTGCCGCTCAGCGACTGCGCCTCTCTTTTCCTTTTCATCTCCGTGCCTGCTCCTGGGGGACCCCCACCGCCATCACCATGCATCTCCCCAGCCCCACGCGCACCGCCTGAGGGGCTGCAGCCCCCTCCCCAAACCCCCACGGCACCCCTATCCCCGCGGGCACCCGGATGGGCACTGCGGCACTCTGCCACCCCGTGGCACAGCGAGCGCAGAGCTGCTCTGTCCCCGGCGCGTGGCATCCCCGTGCCCTGCTGCCATCCCCTGTGCCCTTCTGCACGGCGTCCACGCTGTCCATTCGGGGTTATGGGGCCACGGGGAGGGGATGAAAGCCAGATCCTGACCCACCGTGCCCTGGCCGCGGAGGAAAAGGCCGTGCCTTGCTGCAATCCAGACGCACTTTAATGACACGAGTTGGGGAGGGTCGGGGACGCGGCTGCCGCCGTCGGTGCCACCGGGTCCCCCCGTCCCCAGGCTCAGTACTCCCAGAGCGTGGCCCGCAGCACCGACTCGCTGTCGGCCCGCAGGGTGCCGGCCGGGTCCCCACGCAGGTACCGCCCGTTCTTCCCTTTGATGGCGACGCGCCCGCGCTCCCGAAACTCGAAGAAGAAATCCTCGGACAGGTCCCCGTCGCTGCAGACCGCTCCGCTGCTCGCCACGTACCAGAACTTTCCCCCCTGACCTGCAGAGGGCGCGGGGCCGTCAGTGGGGCCGCGGGCAGCCCCGCATCCCCCCCCGCACCGCCACGCACCTCTGATCTGGTAGGCGCCGTCGCTGAAGCCCACGTGGAAGACGTCGTAGACGGAGCGGTTGGAGTCGAGCAGATTGGAGCCGCGGTGGTAGCAGACGAAGCCGTGCTCGCCCCGCAGCACCAGCATGGGCCGGTTGATCAGCTTCAGGGTGAACTCCTCGTCCTCCCCTGCGACGGGAAAGGGGCTGAGCGGGGCTGACGTCCCCATCCCCCAACCCCCACCTGCAGCCCCAGTTCTGCACTCACCCACGGCATCGCTGACGGCCGCCAGCTGCCCGTTCCTCTTGGTGCACACGTAGCGGCCATTGCTGGCACGCAGGGCCACACGCCGCCCGCGCCACTCGATGTCAAACATGGTGTTGGCAGCACTGGGTGACAGCACAGCGGTGTCACTGGGCCGCCCGCCCCCCCCGCCCCCCCCCCCCCCCCGGCCCTGCTGCACTCACACTTCAGTAGCCACGGCCTGGATGCCCCCGTGGGCCACCAGGGTCCAGTAGCTGCCAGCATTGGTGTGCAGGCTGCACTTCTTGGTGTCACGGTCGATCTGCAGCTGGAAGGTCTCGTGGTTCAGCTCCTCATCCTGGTTGGCCGACACGTTGATGCCTGCGGGTGGAAAGGGACATCAGCACAGGGCCACCCCCTCCCAGGGTAAATCCCCCCGGAACAATCGTGCTAATTGGGCCCTTAATCTGATTGTGGTGTGCCCATCTGAGCAGCGCAGCCCTGCACAGGCCCCTATTTATATCCCACACCGCCCTAAGGAGCTTGGCACAAACGTCCCCAGTGCCACGGGGACAGCAGGGCAGCTGGGGCCATGGCACGGCGCTGTGTGCCAGCTTTGGTTGTGAGCACTGTGTGTGCAAACATGCACGCTCCCAGCACCTGGCGTGCACTCCATTCGTACACCAAACTCAGCCTTTCACACATGCAGAGCGGCATGCAGGCGAATGCACAGTGCTGCAAAGAGCCTTGCTTGCACACAGGTACGGGCTGCACAGCTGTGCACCTGCAAACACGTGCGCACACACACACACACAGGTTGCATGCAGCTGTGTGCCTGAACTCATGCTCACAGCATCACACATGCATGACCTGCACCGAAGCACGCATGCGCTGCAGTGCACCACGCAGAGCCTTGCACACGCACATTTATGCACACTTGCAGTGCTGCACAGATCCACTGCCAGTCCCAAATGGGCCACACAGTCCCAGGGCAGCCTCTGAGCAACCCACACTGCCGACAGTGGGGCTGTGGTCACACACCGACCCCAGGCAGGGGCTGTTTTTATAGGGTCTCCTCTCCACGCAGAGCGCTCTCACGGAGACCTCCGGGGCTGGGGCTGCTTTGGGCTGAGCGATCCCCGGGGTCCACCAGGTGCCTGTCCCCAAAGCTGGGGCTGTTTTTGTAGGGTCTCCTCTTGGTGCTCTCACAGAGAGCCCACACTCTGGGCTGACCACCCCCCGGCTTCACACCGTGCCCTTACCCTGCCGGATGGAGACGAATCTGCCGTTGGCCGCCGTGAAAACCACCTGGGGGTGACTTTCCTCCAGATCGAAGAGTTCGTCCTTGCCTGGCTTGGAGCTGCGCCCGGATTTGAGCGTTCCGGTGGGCCCGGTGGGCGCCAGGTACTTCCCATCGCAGTCCTTGAAGGCCAGCTTACCCGCCTTGAACTCCAGCGTGTAGCCGGTGCGGGCGCCGGGCTCGGGCACCAGGATCCCATCGCAGCGCAGGTAGCGCTCGTCGGCCGTGCGCAGGCTGTACTTCTTGTCCTGGAAGCAGAGCGTGATGAGCGCGTCCACCCCCCAGGGCAGGTTGCTGTCGGTGGCGATCTCGTCCTCGTGGGCGCTCAGGTGCGCGTAGCGGCGGCGGCTGACGCTCAGCAGGTTGGCCTGCGGGTGCATGGCCAGGTGCACGGTCCACAGCTCGCCCTCAGTGACGCTGGGAGCGAAGCAGGACAGCCGGTCCTCGCGGCCGCCGAAGAAACGCCGGTGCGGCGCCGACTGCAGCGCCCAGCGCCCGTCCGACTGCGTGATGATGCTGAAGCGCTCATCGCGGCCCGGCTGCTCGGCCTCGCAGCGCACCTGCCCGTCCTTGTCGGCCCCCAGGTAGCGGCCCAGGTGGCTCTTGAGGAAGACAACGGAGCTGTCGGCCTCGTCCTGCTCCAGCGTCCATATCTGCTTGCGCTTCAGGCTGGGTGCCGAGGCGTTCACCTTGTAGCCGAAGCTCTCCGCCGTCAGGTAGCGGCTCTCGCAGTTGATCAGCCCGAATTGGATCTTCAGGACCTGGTGGATCCCATTTGTTGGCATCTTCCGCCTCTGCCGGGGGGGGGGTGGCCCCAGGGGGCTGCGGGGACGTCTGCGCTGCCGGGCGCCGCTGCCGCAATGGCCCCGTGGCACAGCTCGGCACGGCACAGCACGGCGCGGCGGGGGGGGGGGGGGACGCCCAATTAGGGGCAGGTGGGATTACGGAGCCCGGCCAGATTGCTGCCGGGTAACCTACTGCCCCACGCCCTACAGCCCCACAGCGGCTCGACGCCCAGCACCGGGCAGCCCCGTGTGTGCACAGCTCCAGATCTCGGCGTCCCACCGTGGAGCCGCGGGTGGAAAACTTGGGTGGGAACCCGATCTGGGCGCACGGATCCGTTCCCTGCAGGCTAAGGTTACCGGCCTCTCTGATTCAGCAGCGGGTCACCTCCCGGCGCGCCGCCTCCTGGCCAGCCCCTAAGCGCCTTACAATTAGCCAGGCATTTTGATTAGTTTAAACCCTTTATCCTGCTTTGGGGCCCTTGGCCTCCATCTGTCCTACGGCCCCATTTCCCCCCCCCATGGCTGTGGCTCAGGGTCACGCAGCCCTGTGTCTCTGATGGGACAGAGCTGAGCACTGGGCTTCGTCATCATCATCTTGCCATGTGTTGGGCCCTGGGGAGCGACGGGGCCGTGTTGGGCATCGTGGTGTCGTGCGTTGGGCACTGTGGGATGGGAACCTTCGTTGCTGTGTTTTGGGCATTGCAGGGCCATGTGTTGGGCACTGTGGAATTTGCTCCTCCAGTGCCGTGTGTTGGGCATCACGATATGGGGACATCCAGTGCCGTGTGTTGAGCATCACAGTGCCATGTGTCGGGCATCACAAGACAGGGACCACTGGTGCCATGTGTTGAGCACCACAGTGCCATGTTTTGGGTACTGCAGCATGGGGACCTCCAGCGCCATGTGTTGGGCATCGTGGTGCCATGTGTTGGGTGTCACAGTGCCATGTGTTGGCATGATGGATGGCATCCTATGGTGCCATGTATCCCCCAGCCACAAGGACGCTGCTGGGGACACTTGGGCTGAGCTCACCCCAATCCCATGGTTTTGGGTGCTGCCCTATGGGAGCACAGAGGTCCGTGGGGATGGGTGGTGTCCCATAAGCGGTCACACCCGGTCCCCAGCGCCCGGCTCTGTGCTCTCACTGCCTCCTTCCCCCCCAGCTCCGGTGTCAGTGTGGCGGCAGCGAGTTATTGTTCCCGAAAATAGGTCCCGGGGATTGTTTGCCTCATGACTTTTTCATGGCTCTCCCTTTACCGTGCCTGGGAGAGGAAGGGGGGGGGGGGGCACGGCGGCCCCCAGCGCTGCGTTACACGAGCTGCATGGCGTGCTGAAACTGACCCCCACCGAAATGGATACGGCTTGGCTTTCTGACTGGGGGGGGGTGGCTAAGTGGGTCAGGGTCCTGCAGAGGGGGGTGGGGGACAGTGAAGGGGACATCCTACGGTGCTGCTGGAGGTGTGCAGTGCGAGAGCTGAGAGCCGCATTGACACACACAGATGCCACCCCTCCCCAAATATAGGGCTGGTGTTGGCATTGGGGGTGTCCTGCTCCACCCCGTTGTTTTCCCCCCCCCCCGGGTTGGGCTTGACCGGGGGGGGGGGGGCCCGGGGAGGGGGGGGGGGGGGGGCCGACGCCCCCTTGCGCAACGCCCCGCCGTCCCCGTGACAACGGCGGGGGGGGATGGGGTGGGCTGTCACCGTCACCACGACGACAGAGCTGTGCGCGCGGGGTGGGGGGGGCACCGCACCGCATCAGCACCGCGGGGACCTTCACCCGAAGGAAGAGGGGGGGGGGAGGAGGAGGAAGGAGAACGACGTGCGCTTCCTCCTCCTCCTCCTCTTCCTTCTCCCCGCTCCCCCCTCCCCGAGCGAAAGTCCCCGCGGAGGCGGTTTCGGTGCCGGGCGCGGCCGTGCCACCGTCCCGATGTGCCCTAATATAGCCGTGCCGCGGTACCTGCGGCCCCGCCCGCCCCGGGGACATCAGCCCACGGCTGGGACGCTGCCCTACGTGGGGACACGGGACCCCCAGCCCCTCCCGCTGCCCCCCAGCACCTCTCGGCGCTCTGTCCCCATCTTCCGCCCCAATGGCACCGCTGTGGCCCACGGGTGGTGCCGGAGCCGTGTGGGGCCGAGCGGTGCTGGGAATCACCAGGAGATGCCATGGGGAGCATGGGCAGTGCGTGGAAAGTGCCGCTGTGTCTGCATGGACCGGGCACCCAACATGGCCATGGAGCTCCAGTACGGGCCATTGGGCTCCAGTGTGCTCTACAGGGCTCCAATATAATCTGCCGGGCTCTAGTGTGGACTGTGAGGCAGCATCATGGCCCACGGGGCTGTGACATGAGCAATTATATCAAACCATGGGCACTGGCGTGGGCTGTGGGGTACCAGTGCGATCTGATGGGTTCCAAGGCAGTTCCTAGGGCTCCAACATGGACAGTGAGGCACCAGTACAGTCCATTGGCACCAGCATGGCTCATGGGGCACCATATGGAGCATGGGGCTCCAACAGGGTCTGTGGTCCATTGAGCTGCAGTGTGGTCTACGGGGCTCCAGCATGTCCTTGGGACACCAATATGGTTCTTGGGACATCAGTACGGTCCACAGGACACCAGTATGATCCACGGGGCTCCAACACAGCCTGTTGTTGCTCCATGATGCCTTACATGCCCCAGGCTCCTGCCCACCCTCAGGCCCCTGCTATGGCACAGTATGGGCACAGCACGGCGAGGTTGGCCCCATAGCAGTGATGGGAGACACTGTGTTTTGGGGCACGAAGCACCACGTGCCCTGCAGCAAGGCCTGTGTCACCCATGTGGGGTGACAGCTGTCCCCTATAGGGGGTGTCATGTGTATGGGATGCCCCCTATACCAGGCACCCCTATACCGGCATCCCCTACACATGGTGCCCACCCAACACAGTGTCCCCTATTCGAAACGTCCCCTATACGAGTGCCTCCGATGCGGGGCATCCCCTACACGGGTTGTCACCCATACGGCTGTCACCCATAGGGTCCCCTACACTCAAGTGCACCCTACCGAGGGGAGCACCTCTAAGTGCCCCCCTCGTGTGGATCCCAGCATCGCACCGGGAGCCGCCCCGCACCCCTCCGCACCCCGAACCCCACGGTACCGGGGGGGGCACCGCCGTGGGGCGCTGGGCCGGGCCGGGGCGGCCGCCCCCCGCTTTGCCCCCCACCCCCACCCCACGCTTTGCCCCATGCAGATTCCGGGGTTCTCGGGGCGGGGACGAGCCGGCAAGTCTCCCCACGTGGCCGAGTGCGGACTAGCCAATGGGAGCGCGTGTTTCTGAAAGATCTCCATATATGGCGATGTTCTCGGCCGGGTGGGAGGGGCTGCCGCCCCCTGGGTATAAAAGCGTGGGGCTGGCAGCGGAACGGTCTCACTCCGCCGGCGGCAGCGGACCGCGCGCAGCGTCATCGCTCTCTTCAGCACCGGGCGCAGCCTCCCCGCACAGGTACGGCCCCGCGCCCCCCTCCTCGGGGCCGGCGGCGGCTGAGGCAGTGCGCGCGATGCCGCGGGGTGTGCGGGAGGGGAGCGCGGTGGGGGTGGGGGGGGGCTCAGCGCTGCGCAGCGCCCCATAGGGCCTCACCCCCAGCCATTCCCCCCCTTCCATTTCCCCCCCTCCGGTCCCAGCGCGCGTTGGCCGCGCCCGCTCTGAGGGCCGTTGGGGTGGGGCGGGACGCGTTGTGATTGGCTGCGGTCGCGCGTGACGTCACGGCGCGGGAGATTCGAAGATTCGAATGGCGGCGGACGGAGCCATGGGCGGCGGCGGGGGGGGGGGGGGGGGGGGGGTTGCATGGTGGGAGTTGGCGGTGGGGTGACGGTGCGACCGTCCCGCAGAATACCCCAAGATGGAAGAGGAAATCGCAGCGCTCGTGATCGACAATGGCTCCGGCATGTGCAAGGCGGGATTCGCCGGGGACGATGCGCCCCGCGCCGTGTTCCCGTCCATCGTGGGCCGCCCCCGGCACCAGGTGTGTGTGTGAGGCGGGGGTGCGAGGGCTGGGGGAAGGCGGGGGGTTGGGGGGGTCGGTGGGGCTGTGCGCGTTGTTGACCGCGAGCTGCTTGTAGGGCGTGATGGTGGGCATGGGGCAGAAGGACAGCTATGTGGGCGACGAGGCGCAGAGCAAGAGGGGCATCCTGACCCTGAAGTACCCCATCGAGCACGGCATCGTCACCAACTGGGACGACATGGAGAAGATCTGGCACCACACCTTCTACAACGAGCTGCGTGTGGCGCCCGAGGAGCACCCGGTGCTGCTCACTGAGGCTCCGCTCAACCCCAAGGCCAACCGTGAGAAGATGACGCAGGTATGGCTGCTGCCCGCTGCACCGCCCTCCTCCTTTGTTTATGGCACCCTAATCCTGAGCCATCTCTCTCCCACCATTTTCAGGGTTCTGTTCTCCTGGCATTTCCCCCCTGACGTCTCAGGTTTCTTTCATTTGTGTTTTCTGCCTGCTTTTCTTTGCTTTTCCTTCACATCACAGTTGTTTTTTTTTTTTCTTTTTTTTTTTTTTTGCATGCCAGCATGCGTGTGCTAACACGGGTGTGAGTGACCCCACTCGGCTCTCAGTGCTCAGCTCACTTATGTTTCACTTCCCTTTCTGACAGATCATGTTTGAGACCTTCAACACCCCCGCCATGTACGTGGCCATCCAGGCCGTGCTGTCCCTGTACGCCTCCGGTCGCACCACAGGCATTGTTATGGACTCTGGGGATGGTGTCACCCACACGGTGCCCATCTACGAGGGCTACGCTCTGCCCCATGCCATCCTGCGTCTGGACCTGGCTGGCCGTGACCTGACCGACTACCTCATGAAGATCCTGACAGAGAGGGGCTACAGCTTCACCACCACAGCTGAGAGGGAAATCGTGCGTGACATCAAAGAGAAGCTGTGCTACGTCGCCCTGGACTTCGAGCAGGAGATGGCCACTGCTGCCTCTTCCTCCTCCCTGGAGAAGAGCTATGAGCT